AAAAAAAACTTCTTAATTCAATTTTATGCCTTTTCATGTTTTGAGATTTTATTCAGACTGATCTCTTAAGTGAACTCCACGAAAACTTATCCTCCTTCACCTTCTAACGCTCCCAAATAAATCAGTATAATATTTTTTCAATCTGATTTTTGTGGTTTACTTCAACTGTCATGAAATGTAGAGTTAGCATTTTGTCCACGGAAGCGTTTGATCACGCGCTTGATCTCCAACATATCTGCTTTTCCGAGCTGAAAAGTTGTTTGTATACTAAAATGATTTGGAGTTATCGCAAAAAAAAAACTGTTTTTACATCTTTATATCGTTCGGATATCTGAGCAGTCTCAAAATTAAGGTATTCATGGAAATCTGAACAATAACGGACTGATCCTTGGCGTTCCTGGTATCATGACGCATGAGCTTCATCAAAATCCACATGGCGCTGTCTCACATCCGATGACATCTCCACAAAATGGATGTTTCATGAGCCCTTACCCTCCCAGCCAGCCGACACCTGGTAGTCTACCACAGGTTCTTTTTTGTCCTTATTTGTCTCCAAATATGGATCCACATAAAATTGGTTCTGATCTCGCTCCAGGTTTCTCCTCCCGTATCGAATGGTCGCCATGATAGTCAGCAATATATTGTCAACAATGGCTACAGTGCTGGTTTGTTCAATATATTGAACGTTTCAAGCGAAGGAAGCATCAACAGTCAGCAAAGCGAAGCTCCGAGGTTTATTCCGCTAGTTTATCTAGCAATGTGTTAATAATATAAACTTCTAAGAAAGCGTCCACGGAACGAAAGCCAGCTGCTTGATCCCCCAAAATTCCTGCCAACGTTCCCTGGGGTGGGACAAGCACCCGTAGCAGCCAGTCCCATTGATTGTAATTACCAGGACGAAAATTTCTCACAACAGGTTCTTCGCTTTCCAAATTCTCGACAAAATTCTGTGAACTGCAACCAATCCAAACTAACGTATTAGTTCAAGGTGATCAAATTCTCGACATTCCAAGAAGACCAGTGGAGCCCTCTGTACGACATCAACCATCAGCAACTGACAAAGTTGAAAATTTGCGTTGTGGCCGATAAGGGATTCAACTATTCGAACTCCGATGGTTGTTTTGTAAATCAAAAGAAAAATCACTTTCAAGTATGTTAGGTAGAAATTACTCTGAAAGGTTAGCAAAGAATCTTTTCCAGATCTCAGTGAACATCGAAGCAAATGACGAAAATCCGCCGAAATTTGTGAAGGTGGATGGAGTGATGCATCCAATCAAAGCGATCAAATTGGCCTTCTGTGGAGTAAAAGCTGAAATGCTCACGTCTGAGATACAAATCAAACAATCACAAACTGACCGCAAACCGATACCGCACGATCCTGTCATGTTCGTAATTTCGTCTGCTTTTTCATGTGCTTGCATTGTGTAACAAATTATCTTTTCAGCCTGAGCATTCATGCTCGCGAGATTACAAAAGTGACGGTGCCCCGGCTCCACTTTTCTGAGACCACCCTCAACAACCAGAGAAAGAACAACCGACCGAACCCTGACCAAAAGTATTTTCTACTTGTCGTGCGCCTTCTCGCTTGTATAGAGAATGGACCACCTGCTCTTATTCAAGCGCAGCAATCGGAGAAAGTCATTGTTCGGGTAAGAACTGTGTTTACAAAACTTACAGATCAGAATCTTTATTGCGCTTGAAAAGTTATGAATACATGTGATCGGTGTACCTGTCAACCCATACTGGTATCTCGTGGGTCTCCTCGTTTCGTACCACTTCGAACTCCGGAAGCTCATCAGGTAGTTGAGGCTTGGGCTTTGTTGCTGGGTGAATCTGCTCCTTGGGCTTCAACTTGGGAGCTGTTCGTAAAGGTTGCGGAGGAGGAAGATGGTCATCTGTGCATCCTATCCAAACTGGAACATTGTGAACATGCTCATGTCCGTCCTCAGCTACAAGAACAACCGTTAACGAATAGCTTAGAGCAAGAACATTCCAGTATGTGATCTCAATGCTCGGCGGTATAGTGCTTGGAATTCGCATGGACCACTGCTCTGGCCACTTGTCCTTGTCCTCAGGACTGTCCATGCCTGCAACCACTCTTTCCGTGCAGTAGCTCTCGTCTGCATTCAGTCCAGCGATCCGTATTCGTCTCTGCTGCTCCAGTCGTAATCGCACTGCTCGCACCTCTCCATTAACAGTGACAAATACATGTTTTCCTCTTTGGAATGTGCGCTGCTTCATTTCAATTCCGTATTCGCCAACGATCTCTGAGTATGACATTTTGAACTTCTCTTTGGCTTGCGTATCTGCAAAATAGTCAACGGCAATTGCCCTCTCCTCAGCTATGTCGTTTATTTCCCAAGGTTTTGTCGTTACGCTGCAGCTGTAACGAATGTCATCGTCCATGCTGGGAGGTAGAATATTCGTATCATACTGAGAATCTTTGAATGGTAAGGGTATCTTGACTGAATGGCTGCCAGGACTAAGTAACGACATAGCATCGGAGGAGATATGGGCCTTGTAGCGAAGAAATATGTACCAAGTTAGTCCAGCACGAACCTCGCCTTGAAGTAGCAACCTCAAACAGAGTTGTTCCTTACGGATGCTGTTGTTTGTGAAGTTAACCAAAGCGTAGCTGTTCGCTAGCTTTCCATTTTTCTCGGTCATGACTTCCAACTCGTCCACTTCTATGGAAGATTGGCTACTTTGTGGAGCTGAGAGATTAAGGTCCAACACAG